AAAATATTTATATTTTTTTATTAATATTATGATAAAATAATGTTGTATTATTATATAATATTCATGTGCATTATTGCTATCCTTCAAATTATTTATTATTATAATGGTGATCATTTAAATATAAAATAGTGTTGTATTATTTCATAATATTGATGTGTATTATTGCTATCCTTCAAATTATTTATTATTATTATAATGGTGAGCATTTAAATATATTTTTATTATGACTGAATTATTATCTCAATATATTAATTTAATATTATAATATTATGCATCTTATTATAATATTGTATTAATAGCAATAAATGAGTATATGTTACTATATAACTATTGTACTTTGATCATAAATACATTTATAGGACTGGGATATCAAAAGTGAAAGAACCATCGAAGAGGATAAAGATAGAAAATGCTTTAATATCAGATCATATCCTGATAGAGGTGTGAAAGTTCATGGGGGAGATTGTCATTTACTAGTTGATCAAGCTATTCAACAAGGTATTGAGAACAAAGATAATGGCAGATGAATGGAGGAAAAGTATTGTCGTATCTATTTACATGAATAGATAAGACATACAAAATTGTGCAAACTACCAAGGGATCAAAATTATAAGCGACATTGTGAAGCAGAAGGCAAGAAAGTAATTGACGAATGACTATGACATGAAACGAGTGAATTAGAAAACCAATTTGGTTTTATACTAGGCAATTTTTCTACATATGCAACTGATGGAGAACTTTAGGGCAAAAGAAAAGGCTTCCATATGGTCTTTATTGATCTGGAGAAAGCTTATGATAGATTACCTGGATATTTAATTTGATGAGTGTTGAAAAACAAAGAAGTATTAGGCAAGAGATATATTTGAAAGAGTGCTAACTAGTGTGCTAACAATTAGCGGAGAAGAATGAATTTTCAATAGCAATAGATCTACATCAGAGGTCAGTATTGAGCCCATACCCTTTTGTCTTAGTTATGGATGACCTATCTAGGTACCTACAAGATGAGGTACCGTGGTGAATGTTGTTTGTGGAAGACATAGTTTTAATTGATGAGATCCAAAACATCGTCAACATAAAGTTAGACTTTTGAAGGGATTCTCTAGAATCTAAATGTTTTAAAATTAACAGGACTAAGACAGAGTATTTGGAATGTAAATTTAGTAATAATAAGAGTAGAGACGAAGAAATAGTTAAGATCAACAACCATGAAATACTAAAAAGAGTATAGTTTTAATATCTTAAGTTGATAATTCAAGAAATGGAGACATTGGGGAAGATGTCGGATATAAATATAGAGCTGGGTGGACGCTTCAAAAAATGTAGCACTTTAATTGATTAAAATGTTTCATATATATATATTAAAATGGGTGACCAGGTGTGATCCTTGTTGTAACGGATGATGTACAAAGCTTCTAAGGCTTTAACAGCCAAGGGATATGGATGATGGGTTAAGTCATCCCCAAATGATATGAAACTTCAAAGAGAGGGATATATTGCCTAAAATATGATTTTTTGAATGTCTCGGCGCAATCTAAAATACAAAGTTTTGCAATGTCAGTCAAGGCATATCTTAATGGATGGATGTTGGGGTTGAATCAACTCCAAATATTGCCCAATTATTATAATTTTTAGACCCGGAGGCATAGAAGGCCACATTATATATATCATCAAAGATATACCTCACCACAGTATCACATGACAATGTTTCCTTATGCCCCGGTCTGTCAAGTATTGTATCTTTGTCCATCAACGGATTCAAAGAGACATATTGCATCTTATCAAAACTCCTCTAATTATCATTTAGTCTAATTATCATTTATAGTGGCATACATGACTCATTGGAGTATATGTATCCTAAAGTTTCATCTCAAATTGAAATGACTTCATAGTATTTTATCATCGATCATTAGTCACGATACATATGTGTAACCAACGATAGATTAGAAAACATATCATTCCATATCAAATTCCTCTACCTATCACACGAAGAGGAATATAGAGGCCTTAGGCGTATATGTATCATAGAATTTATCTCACATTGAGATTGACTTCTTGTCTTCTATAATCAACCGTTAGTCAAAATGAACATGTTTGACTGACATTTGGTTTATATCTGATCAAATACTTTTATTATCTTGACCAAGAGGTGTGTATGATTCTTATATGTATCCTAGAATCTTTCATGTATTAATATCGTTTGATTCCTTCTGCTATTATTGATCATAAATCAAGGCATATTGGGGCTTGACCAACGAATCAAAACTCTGAAGGCATAATGGGGCCTTCTTATTATGAATACTGATCATATCATATCTTTCATATTTTCATATCATATGCTCATATCATATTATGGGCATATATTATTAGGTATTTATCCAGAACTATGCTCATATCTTATCCACCGTCTGAGACAATTATCCAGCGTTTGAGATGGATATGTGGCATGACAATAAAAAAATAGAATTTGAAAGGGATAAATTTGGAAGAAGGTGTGGCACTAATAGGCGATACGATAAGAAAAAGTAGATTTCGGTGGGTTAGCCATGAGCACTGTGGAGCCAATACGGCACCTGTTAGGAGGTGCGAGTTAGTTCAAGTGGAAGGCTCAAAAAGGGGAAGGGTTAGGCTCAAAAGGACATAGTTAAAAATAGTGGAAAAATATATGGGGACTTATGGCCTCATTGAAGGTATGACCTTTGATAGAGTACAATGGTGCACCAAGATTCATGTAGCTTATTCCAAATAGTTTGAGAAAAGGCTCTGATGATGATTATTAACTCAAATATTTATAATATCATCAACATCATAATTGTTAATATTATTATATTATAATAGAACAACATTCTATATTATTATATTATAATATAATAATATTACAATTATTATATTTTAATAAAATATTATTATAATTTAATAGTAACATATAAAATCATTATTTTATCATAATATTTGTTAATATTATAATATTATTAATACTAATAAAATAATAGTGTATTATCATATAAATAAATATTAAAATGTACTACTGTTAAGATTATTACTATTTAAGATATCTATTATTAGAAAAGTGAATATTTAATTACTTGATGAAATAAATATATATTTTAAATAATAAAGTTATTAGTGAAATATATTTTCATTGGTCATGTTACTCATAATTAAATATTTCACATACAATTTTATCCTAATAAGTAATATGTTTGAAGAGAGATAAAAACAACGAGAGACGTAAATCAAAATTTGACCATAAAATATTCTTCAAAGTACATTACTGCCAAATTTGTTTCATATTATAAGTAGCTTATTTCTAATAAATTATTTTAATTAAAAAGTAGATATATTCATCAAATTATGAAATGAACGGCCAGGGTATAACAACAAACTGCCAGAACCTGGTTTTACAATTAGATGAGCCAAGCAGAAGAGTTGTTATATACTAGGTTCATCCAAAAGCTATCCAAATGACATCACTCTTAAAACCATGATCTAAAACCATGTTTACAAATAGTAGTGCTTGTATACCCAGGATTTGACACATAACTAGATTTTGCAAATATCAGATCGTAAATGACCCCTAACATTTATTTATTTATTTATTTATTTATTTTTATTTTTTATTTTTTTGAGAGGAACACTAACAAAGATGCATTGAGAAAATGAAAAGTAGATTTTTTAAACAATAAATAAAAAAAAAAAGAAAAAAGAAAAAAATAAAAAGGAGGCCTTAAATCTAGAAATCTAATGGGGTTAGAGTTGATGGCGCCTGATATACCATGAAAGAGACATTCAAGATGGGGCTTTTAAGCTACTTTTTAGAATGAATATACAACAAACTTGTATAATAAAGAAACTGTCCCTGATTCTCCCCTTGTTTGTTTGGGAATCTTACATCCAAATTCCACCTTCCCCCAAATTATCTATGCTTTCATAACTCATGTAGGAACTTAAATAACTCATGTAGGAACTTAATACACATACCAAAATCATGCCTCAGACACTGGTCAGAAGACTTCGAACTGAAGCAATAATTAAAATAAACAAATAAGAAAAAAAATAGATTGTAACTCGGAAATTCAAGTACAGTAAGGAAACAAACAGAGATGAAAGCTAATGAATCCTTGGGCAGGGATTCAAAGTAACCCTGAAAGGCCAGAGCTCTTTTCAGTCAAACTTGAATTCTTAAGTGCCTGGTGTCAATTAAAATAAATAAATAGAAAAAAAATAGTTTGTAAATCGAAAATTCAGGAAACAAACTGAGATGAAAGCTAAGGAATCGTTGGGCAGGGATTCAAAGTAACCCTGAAAGGCCAAAGCTCTTTGCGGTCAAACTTGAATTCTTCAGCGGCTGGTGTGAGTCTCTTGCTGCTTATATGATACCAATGGTACTTCCCATTCATCTGGAACTCCCCATTCTTGTCCAACAACTTGGACGACAGAAGCACCACATCATCCCCGATCATGGCCTCCACTCTTGGAACTATAAGAGTTCCCCAAAGAATACGCAAATTTATCTCATGATTCTCCCACACTTTTCCTGAGTAATCCACCAAAACCCAGATACACACAGTACAATCACAATACCCAGCTATAGCCAGAGACCCTCGATACTCTATCAAACCTAAATATGTACCTGGAATGCTTTTTCTTGGAGAGTCGAAACAAATTGCTTCTTCCTTTTTAGGGTCGATAGCAAGTATTTCTAAGTGTCCTCTCTGCGAGAAGAGCCAGTGGAAGGTTTGATTGAAGAACAGAGGGCCACCATAGTACCTGAAGCTTACCGGGCCAGGTATTTCCTTGGGCTTCCCCCATGCACCCAAACGAGAATTGAATACCTCAAACATATCTCCAAATTCATTAGTGAGGGAAACAAAGAATCGGACGGCCATATAGTGGCACGAGTCGGAAGGATCCACTGCGAATGCTGCTCTCATGGTTTGGCGAGAACAAGTTTCGGGTGGTGGCCTCGGGAGGCCTGCCCAGTCTCTAGTAGCTGCATTGCATATCCAAAACAGTCCCCTCTTTCTCACGCTCTCGCAAAAGAAGAGCCCTTCTGAGCAAGCTAGGACACGGGCTTTATCCGGCAAGAAATTCACCTCAGTTATAAGTGAATCCCAGAGACCATCAGCTGAAATGAATTTTGGTTCAAAACTCTTCTTACGAAGGAAATAATCTGGATCCCAAGGAGGAGTATCGAATCGGAATTTCTCTAAATCAAGATGAGTCATGATCAAACCAGAGGCTTTCGGGAGCCTCTTATTAATTACTTCCACAAAGCAAGAGCTCGATATAATGGTCCACCATTCTTTCGAAACCTGTTTGAATGTGAGAAACTTCTTGAAAGAGACTTTTGATAATATCTCAAATATCAATTCTTCAGAGAGGTAAAATGAATCATCATAAGTAAACATGATTATATATCACAATGAAAAGATGATCAGAGAAAAGATCGCAATGAAAAGATGAACAGATAAAAGAAAAACAGAGAAAGAGAGCTCAAGGCAACACAACCCAAATGAAACGATCGAACAGAAAAGGAGAGGTCGAGGCAACACAATGAAAATACAACACAATGATGAACAGAAAAAGAGAGGTCGAGACTAACACAATAAAAAGATTAACAGAGAAGGAGAAATAAGGTAGAAAGAAACACAAAAAAGGAGAGGTCAAGGCAACACAGTGAAAAGATTAACAGAGAAGGAGAAATAAGATAGAAAGAAACACAAAAAAAACTATACTTATGATATAAAAAATAGAACACCACTGTTAAGGAAGGAACCAGAGTGCAAAGACAGAGAAAAACTTGAAAACTTGATGAAGATCAATTTGTTAGAAACTTGAAACAATTTGCTCATATATATATAGTATTTGATTTACTTACGGCACAAGAATATGCAGTAGCAACACAATTTAAAATACGGTAGGACTTGGTTTCCAAGAAAATAAGGAGATAAAATAATGACTTGAATTTAATTTAAAATATTAGAGATAGTGATGCTCATCCAATTTTTAAAAGATGTAGATTTCTCTATCTAAAACGAAGTCCCATCAAATCCAAAAACTGTAAAAAAAACTTATCTCAATAAAGTTTACATACATAGCAATTTCAAATTAGATATAGTTCATGGGATTAATAGCAATTCTATTACTTGATCATTTAATGTTCGTAGAAAGATAGGGACGTTTCTTTATTCAAATTAGTTTTTGGGTAATATCCAATTCTCCCTGACCTCCAAAAACGTCTCCCACAAGATTTATTATCTCTCTTTAGCCTTCTCTATCTATAAAAATGGACCAAAGAAAATCTGTCTTTTTATTGCAATTTTACCTAAGGCTTTTACTTATTACATTTAAAATTTTGGATAGGTTCTTAAGAGCCCGGAATTTTTTTTTCAAAATTGCCCTATTTTTTTATTTTTAGGATGTGAAATAATAATAAAAATGAACTCAAAACTTCAACATCCAAAATTTTCCTCTTTCGGATCTTTAGGATTTAAATTAAAAAAATCTGGACTATCGAAGCCCAAAATTTCCATCTTCTTCGATCTTTAGTATCTAAAATAAAAAATATTTCGAACTCCAAAATTTTAGATTTTTTATTTTCTAATTTTTTATTTTTATAAGAGAGGTGGTGCCAATCCAATTTTTAAAAGGTATAAACATTTATCTCAAATTGTAACGATTGGAACCAAGGTGTGGCTTTTGTGCCAATAGTTACGATTGGAGTCAAGGCGTGAGACTATGATATATGCCAATAGTTACGATTGGAGTCAAGGCGTGCGACTATGATATATATTAGCCGTTTTAATGGGAATACTTGCTAAAAATCCTGCTGTTAGAGTTTATGATTTATATAGATAAGCCTTTTAGATAAGGAAATGTTTATATAAGGTTCCAACCTTACCTCTACAGCTATCGATGCTCTTTAAAAATCCATCGGAAAAGATAGTTTTAATGTTTTAATATGGAAAAACCAATCATCTCGACAACAAGATGTATGATCATGAAAAATAAAAAGATTTTAACTCTCGGAAATAGTGCATTTATAACATATTATCAACCCCATTCATTTTCAAGATTTTCATATATTTATAGATCTACTTGATTTTAATCATTTTTGAAATTTAAAATTTTATTATTAGATATAAAAATAGATTTTGAGATATTCCTAATAACCTTTTATATCAAAATTATACACCATGATAAAATTTGAAGGTTCACCTCACCTCTATTATGCCAACTGCACCCTTTAGATAAACAGGGGATTATAGAATAATTGATTAAAAGAAAGTCCTACTTCGATGGGAATTTTTAATTTTGGGTTGAAGGAGAAAAAACAACATTTAAAAAAAAAAAAGTTACAAAGAAAAGTTAAAAAAAAATTCAACTTAACAATATCCTGAGAAAAATCCAACTTCCTATGTTATCGCAAAGAGTGTTTTCGTAACAAAAAAAAAAAAGAGGAAATTTAAAGTTAACTTTATCATGAGGAAATTTTCCTATGTTATCCCAAAGAGTCTCTCTTTTATTTGATACAGTAATTTCGTAGAATTCATTATCTTTTTGAAAGGTTTCTATGCCTTTCCTACAGCGTAAAAATATATACTTCTCTCTTCATCCAGCCGTCCAATATAGATCAAGTGAACCAGTAACCATTTAATCTAGATCCGACGCATTGGAGTATTTTATTTTTAATTTTTAGATCAAGTGAGCCACTAACCATTTAATCTAGATCAGATGCATCAAAGTATTTTATTTTTAATTTTTTTTTATCAAGATCCGATGCATCATAGTATTTTATTTTTATTTTTTTCATTATATGAATATAAATTTGGTACCTGCCATCACCTCAATGGGGTTCACCTAAATAAAATATTTAAAAAATATATTTGACAAAATACAATGACCAAAATACCTCTAAACCTTTCATTGGCATTTTAGTTAATTTGTTTTATTGAGATTATTTTTTTTTTGAGCATTTTAGTTAGTCTGCTTTATTGAGAATATTTTATATTTTTTTTATAGGTGTGAGTTCAAGAGACGATTGGACGACCAAATTTTGGTGTGAAAATATTTTGTATAAAAAATATTAAAAATAAAGTAGTATAGAAGGTGACATTGTGATTGGGTCCATCTAAGCCATCCATGTAGAATTGATGGTTGGATAAAGAAAGTATAGAAGTTTTATGCTCTAAGGGAAGCATAGAATGCTTGCCCCTTTTTAATACGTAAAAAAGTTAAGTTATTTAGATTTCGTAGTCAGCACAGACGAAGAGGTTGATTAGCAATCCCTCGTACGACAAATCGGATGGTGTTAAAGTAGTGTTTTAAAACTATGCAATTTCCAGAAGGAAAAGTGTTCCATGCACCTGCTGACCTTGGATGGGCGCTATGTAAAGTGTATAATCCATAAATAACGTATGGAAAGTACAGAAAAAAATATCAAAAAATTATATTTAAAATTTTAAAACTTTATTTTGCTTTTCATATTCATCCTCATTTTAGTCTATGAATCTACAAAAATAATAGATGAATATTCCATTTTTAAAATAGATTTTAGAGTTGGGCTGCATATTTACATGAGTCGGCCAACTTATAGAAACCCATCCTTTCAGAATCACTGATATGGATGTGAATCGGTTGAGACTTAAACGTTTCTAAGATGGCAAGGGACAAAAATAATTGTAACCTCCATGTAGAAAAGATAAATGATATCTTTATAGACAACTCAATTGTTAATAGGGTATATTTTTTTTCATCTTTTTTGCTTGCATAGTTTCTCTCCCACCGAGAGGACATCTCACAACTGAGAATGAGATTTTGAGTGGAAGTCGATCACCTTTGAACTACACTAGAATGCAGTTTCGGCTAAAAATAATTAAATTGATCGTCTAGCTCATAACATCTATGGATAAATAAGGAATAATTTTAATCCCTAAAATTAGATTATTGGGACCATCTATGTTGATCTGTATTACAGAATAAAAAAACTTTCTTGGTCATCTTTCCACAAGGAATTGCATTAAGCTGAGAGGAGAGTACATAAGGTGTGAAATGAGGGGGACAGGATACCCAGAACACAGGTTCCGCCCAAAAAATAGGTAGGTTTTGTTTGCAGGTAGAATCATTGGTGACAATTTTTTGTACGTCTAGATGCCGGAACTGTTGGCTGCTTTAGGTCTTCAAAATTTTGTTTTGCAAATGTATAATATGATGCCATTTGAAGTGGGCTTTTCAATATGCCAATTGCGAAGAAAACAAATTAAAAATCCTTTCTCAAATTTCACCTTTATGTTCATATCTATTTTTTATGTTTTTTTTTTTTTCCTTTTTTGGGTTATTTTCCTAATTGCCTCAATTTTAGGCCTTAAAGTTCCAATTTCAGATCTTGAAAGTCTAAAGTTTTTTTTTTTTCAACACAAGAGTTTCAAGATCCCAGTGAAACTGTACCTATTTCTGACCTTGACGGTTAGAAGTTAACCACCTTTTTTTTTTTTTAATGAGAAACCTTTGACTTCCCAAATTGTGAAAGTCTCATGTTGAAAAGAATAACATTCATAACTCTGGACCTCAAAGGTCGAAAGTTTAAACTTTCAAGGTCTGAAATAGGCTCATGTCGAAAAACAAAAAAAGACTTTAGGCAGTGAAAGTCTGGAGTTAACTTCAGACCATTCAAGGTCCAAAATAGAGGCAATTTTGAAAATTCTAAAAAATCCAAGAAACAAGTATGATCGTAACATAATTTTCTAAATAATTGTGATTAAGATTATATATGCATAACTTTATCTCTCTTCTTGTTTTCTTTTTCGTTAATGAAATGTTGACTAGGGAAAAGTTCGCAGTGGGCTTGTCAATCGAACCCTGGAAAACTAAAGCCAGGCTGGGCGTTAGGCTTGAAAATAAATATTACATACATTATAATTATTTTTATGTCTAATACTATTATAATATGCTTTACAATTATAAATTATACATCTATAATATTTTACTTTAATAGAATATTTAATTCTATTTGCAAGATAGATACTGAATATAGAAAAGATCTATGAAATGGTGTTAGATCCCCACGCTAATAGCGTTGGCAATGGACCCGACCACACCCACAACCTAACGGGTGAGGTCCGGGTCCCAAACCTGGACTTGAACACCAATTGGATCTTGGTCAAAGTCCAGCCGAATCCGACCCTTAAACTATTGGAGATAAAATATTGTACTTTAAGCGCTATTTTTTTGGGTGTATTAAAGATCATACAAAATAAGAAATTGTAGTCAGCGTTAGCTATTAAACGACAAACTAATGCCAGGTGATTGTGACATTGCTGTCAATAATATGGTTATATGATGTGAAAAAAGGCAAAAAAAATGTCATAAGGTGGCAATAAACCCCGATCAAACTCAGGATCCAATGGGT